ACTTATAACTTGTAACTGGAATATGAGGAATAAAATGGTGAACGCCATGAGAGGTGTAGAGTACTTTGGGCCACAGATAAACAATAAAGGTCTTAACACTCTTTCACACAAAATGAGTGTTAGAATTCCTGGGAATGTACTTTGTGTGTTTAATGGGACGTATGTAGAAACAATTGTACTTGTCACAATAACTGGCAAAGGAATAAGCTTCTCTGCCATTTGCTAAGCAGGGGGCCAGCAATTGCTTAATGCCCTGCAGTTCCTGGACAGACTTGCACAATAAAGATCTTCCCATGACAACACAGAAAAAACTCATCTAGAATATATGGAATGTATTCAGGGAATTCCAGATTCATATTTCTAACATGTTGCTTTCCCAGGTAGTCACTTCTGGGTTGTTTTTCCTCTGAACTCTGTGTGTGTGTATATATAATTTTTTTAAAAAAAATTAATTTTTTAATCGGTTTTACTTGACAGTAGAATGCATTTATGCACTTTGATGTATCATACATAGATGGGGTATAATTTCTCATTTTTCTGATTGTACATGTTGTAGGATCACATCCATCATGCAGCCATATATGTACATAAGGTAATAATGTTTGTTTCATTCTACTATCCTTTCTATCCCCATATCCCCTCCCCCTCCCTTCACTCCTCTCTATCTAATCTAAAGTAACTCTATTCTTCCCTAGCAACCCCAACCTTTATTGTGAATTAGCATCCACATATCAGAGAAAACATCCAGCCTTTGTTGTTGGTTTTTTTTTGGGGGGGGGGATTGGCTTAATTCGCTTAGCATGATATTCTTTAACTTCATCATTTACCAGCAAATGCCATAATTTAATTCTTGTTTAAAGTTGAGTAATATTCCATCATATATGTCACATTTTCTTTATCCATTTATCTATTGAAGGGCACCTAAGTTATTTCCGTAGTTTAGCTATTGTAAATTGAGCTCCTATAAACATTGATGTGGCGGCATTACTGTAGTATGCTGATTTTAGTCCTGTGAGTATAAACCGAGGAGTGGAATAGCTGGGTCTTTGAACCAGATCCTATACTCATCAAGTGTTCAGCAGAAAGAAAACTTGAGTCCAAGTAAAGGATGAAGGAGAATAGCAAGACCCACCAGAATATCTCTGTAGGGTCATAGATTTTCAGCCCCACAACAGAGGAAAGTTACCACCCATGGATAATACTCAGTCCCTAGCAGTTAGCCCTTCCCTAATGATGATCAGCATCCCTGTGTGTTATGATTATTCTCATTTCACAAAGACAGTTCTACTGTACCTCTGATAATTCTGTAATTACAATGTAAAGTAAGAAGCTAATTTTGAATTAGAATCTTCCCTGGTGGGGGCTCCTTTCTCTTGAGCAGTAGCTCAGAGTCTACAGAGCCAGGTAGCCCCCAGAATGGGGGTTGGTGACTGAGCAGGGAAAGCAGAACACTTACCCCTAGCTAAAGGGGTCAGTTCTGCCCAGCTCTGCTTTCTGGAGGTGAAACATAGCTCAGGCCTTCTAACATCTCAAGATAAGCTATAGATTCCAGTTTTGATTGAGATCTTTAGCTTTTTCAATGTTGACCCCTATTTCAATTGCTTTTTCAAATAGTGTGAAGGCTGAAGCACATCATCTAGGCCTGAATTTGACCCAGGGCCCCTAGTTTGCTCTTTCTGCACACTCAACCCAGGAATCTTTTCAGTTGCATGCATTGAGTATTCCCCACTGAGTCAGTAAATTAAAAAAAAAATAGTTAAGTGTACTGACAACTTGGTAAGGTTTTCAAGATAGGAGGAGAGATGCACAGACCCAGGGACCCAGGTAGGTCATACCAGATGATTGGTACCACTTTTGTTATGTTCTTCCTTGCTTAAAAATTCTTAATTCCCTCCCCTATTTCTTTATTTCTTTTTTTGGTACCGGGGATTAAACTCAGAGGCACTCAGTCACTGAGCCACATTCCAGCCCTATTTTGTATTTTATTTAGAGACAGGGTCTTACTGAGTTGCTTAGCACCTCACTTTTGCTGAGGCTGGCTTTGAACTCAGGATCCTCCTGCCTCAGTTTCCCAAGCTGCTGGGATCACAGGCATACAGTACCACACCTGGCACCTCCCCTATTTCTTACTGCACAAGTTACTTCTAAGGCTCTCCAAAACATGATTCCCCTGCCTTGCCAGCCCTATATTTTATCATGTCCCTGTATTCATCCCCCATTCTATTTGAGCCAGTCTTCCTTGAATTCCTTCTAAGATGATGATCTGTTCAGCCCAATATCTCCTGTCCTTATTGAAATCCTATCCACCATTCCAAACTTTGCTCACACTTCACTCCTTTTATTAAACCTTCCCCGTGACAGTAAAAAGCAAAAAGGTATGGTGTCAAGAAGACCTAGGTTCAAATCTCACTTCCACCATTGATAAGCTGGGAGATATCCTTGGGTTTGTTACCTAAATGCTTTGGGCTTCAGAAGATGATGCATATTGAATATCCCTCATCTGAAATGTTTAAGACTCCAAGTGTTTCAGATTCTGGATTTGGGAATATGTGCATAACCAATAATGATCTCACTGGGGATGGGATTAAAGTCTAAACATAAAATTCATTCATATGTTATATACATGTCAAACACATAATCTGAAAGTCATTTTATACAATATTTTTAGTGACTGTGTTTTGACTGCAGCCTGTCACATGAGGATAGATGTGGAATTTTCCACTTGTGGTATCATGTCAACTTGGCAAGGTTTTCAAGATAGGAAAAGTTTTGAATTTTGGAATATTGGGGATTTCAGATGTTTGGATTAGCGATAGCCAGCCCCTAATAGTACCTACCTTACGGGATTTTCTCTCTCTCTCTCTCTCTCTCTCTCTCTCTCTCTCTCTCTCTCTCTCTCCCTCTCCCTCTCTCCCTCTCTCTTCCCTACAGGATTTTTTAAGGATTACATAAAATAATGCAAATAAAGCACTTGCTCCCCAGCAAGTGATTAATTAATGTGAACTCTTATTGTTAATATACCTACTCAATTTTCACTGACCTTCCTCTCCTTCTGTAAGTGCTTCATCCCTTCTGCTGCCTCTTCTGAGCACAGCCCCACTAGATTCTATGCAGTCCATTTTTACTCGACTGTGACCCAGGTATTGACCTGCCTCACCTGAAATTTAGCTTTAAAGCTTTTTAAAGTACTAGGAGTATGTAGGATACAACATAGAATCCATAGACCCAAGTGAATACTGAATCAGAGTTGCACAACAAACACTACCTCTGAAACAAGTCAGCCAAAGTCCCTATCTCCAGCAAAGGCAAGAGTGGATGCTGGGAAGAGCAATGTGTATCTAATCTCAGAGGTGGAGACTGCTTCCATGTTTAGATAATCCTCCCATCTCCCCGCCCCCCCACACCATCTTGTTTTATCCAATATGGTCCTCACTCCGCCTTCCCTAACCTTCAACCCTCTCCTTCCTTCTGATGCTAGAGATAACACACAGAACTAGTTAAAGGCCACTCTCTTTATATGACTATATGATGGGGGAACCTGAACAAACAGGCTACACTGCCTGTCTAAATGGAAAGCCTGTGATCTACTACTACAGAAGCCAAGATGGCCTCTGCAGGCCCTGTCCCCCTCTCTACCTCCACTGGAATAACAAGTCCAGCCTCATCCATCCTGTGAGGTGTGCAGTAGGTGGGATCCCCTGGGCACCAGTGCCCACCGTCTTATTCCACATCTTACTTTTCTCTGTTTTTACAAGGATTAAAAGAAAAAGAATTTAATGAAAGTTACTCCATGCTTCAGGTGACTCCATGTTTTCAGGGGACCCCCAACCCCCAAAAAAACACAGCACAGAAAAATGTGACCACTGAAATGTCATACCTTTTAAAAAGCAAACATAACAAAACAAACCCAGAATCTAAGAATTCCCAACTACTTTATCCCAAGAATGGTTTTCCAAGCATGAAAACTGAACCTTACCAACTGTGCTACATGAGTTTACACTTTGAACAGCATGAGGTTTCAAAGTTAGATTAGAAGCAGGCAGAAATGGACAAATTGGACATGATCTTTGACATTTGATATCATAAGGAAAATGAAAAGGCCAGTTGGAACCAGTATTCCAATTGCCAACCAGTATTCCAATTCCAATTCCAGTATTGCCCCTTGGAGTTAGCAGCATTCAAAAGTTTTCTGGTAATGATCAGCTTTAAAGAAGGTTACAAAAAGCAGGCAATAGAATGTAAAGAAGGTGAGGATTCCAAGGACCAAGATTATGATTCTCTTGCGTGCAGGGATGGCAGTTTTCCCAGCAGCACGGGTCTTCCTAGCTTGCTTTTTCCCCTCAACCCTCTGCCCACCAATCGAAGCTCAGCACTCAGCATTCCAAATGCCTTGTGGGTGACCCTGCTCTCTTGGTCAAATTGGAAACAAGTCTTATTCCACCTGCACTGGAAAAGTCCAGTGGAGACAGTGTCTTGAGAAGTCCCTGAAACCAAGTACCGAGTCATCAAGGGGACAGGTAGGGACAACAGAACCCTGCTAAAGATTAATTGGATGGGTGCAGTGGCAGCAGGGAGAAAGTTGAGAGCCCAAGCCCTTGGCATGATGATGTAGCAGGAGAGGGCACCTTCAGTTCTCATTAGCGGGATGACAATGCCAACGCACTCTAAGGGAATGCCTCGCGTGACCTCGGCTGTAGCAGCGGCTGGAATGAGTGGGTGCCAGAGCGCCCCCTACTGCGGTGCCAGGGCCAGAGGAAGCGCAGCAGGGTGAAGGGAAAGGACCAGGGGAAGAGACTAGACGCATCTCTGGAAAACCTGACTCTGCTGGGGCTGGAAGGGTAACCCGGGTCCCCTGCATAGCCCGTCCCCAATCCCCATCCAGGGTCTGGCAAGGCCCTGTCTGCGTTGCACCCACAGCTCCGGTAGGCCAGGGCGGACAGCCGACACAGACGCAGTGGGACGTGGCTGCCTTCTCTGCGAGCAGAGCGTAGGGCATTTACCGGGAGACTCAGGAGCCGTTGCGTCTCCACTCTGGGCTCCTCTGGGATAGCGGGTCTGCCACCACCACCGCCACTACCGCCGCCGCCGCCCCTTTCCAGCTGCAGCAGTAGCCACTGCCTACGCTCCCAGTCGCTCCCTGCGACTGTTGTCCGTGAGGCCAGCTGTTGAATGGCTCGCGTCGAGCGCACCAGGAGCATAAGAGTCCTCGCTGCATCCAAGTCCGCGACGCAGGCGCGCAGCCGGGTGCCAACGCCCCGTGCACCCCTCGCCCCGCTGCGGCCCTGGCGAGCTCACAGCGACTGCCTCCCGGCTCGGGGCTGCGGGCTGCGGGCTGCGGGCTGCGGGTTCGCCTGCCTGCCCGCTTGCTCTGTTTGGTGGGCTCTCGCCAAACCAATTGACTCCCCTCTGAGGCTCCACCCCCTCGCTTCCATCCCTCAGCTTGCCCACAGGACCAATGGCAAAGATGGACTAGTCCCGCCCCTTCGATTCCCCCAGGGCCAATCGCCTTCTCAGGAGGAACCATTCAAATAACCCCGCCCCTCTAGTGCGGCAAAGCTGGAGCCAAAGTTTACCCCAGTACGCAGGGGCTCCTGAGATTCGCTAGCTTCACCCAGGCTTCCCACCCTCCCGGCCTCATAAGGTTACAATGTTGTTAAAGACTGCAACTTACCTGGTCTACCGACCCACGCACACACTAATGCCTTCGAGGAAAATAGTATAAAAAGGCTAATGAGAGAGCGGCTGTTGCCCACCTCACCTGTGAGGAGGGACTGCTGAGAAACTGCCACCCAATCGGCCATGCCTTACACATCGCAAGGTGAGCAAGAACCTCAAAGATCATCAACTGACTATCCCTGCACTGTTTTTGATTTTTGTTGTTTGTCCCATGTAGAGAAGTCCTGCCCTTGTAAACTGGACAACCTCCAGTTGGGATTCACTGCGGACTGCAAGCATAGGGCTCTGACTCCCTGGTAACTTCTGTCCTTTTGAGGCCAAGCAAAGGCAGCCTTGCCCCTTCTTCCTCCACCGTGATCCCACAATTTGAAGTCAATTCTGGCTCACTTCCCCTCCAGGCCCCGCTGCTCCAAAGACTGAGTTCAAGTCTCTTCTCTGAATTTAGGCCAATTCCTTTATACCTTTTAAAAGTACGAGGCAGGAACTGAGTCTTCCTTCTCCCTATCCCCACCCCAGGGTACAGTCCCATCTGCAGGAGTAGACCCAGGGTGGTCACATCTCCTATCTAGAGGACTTTTCAGCTTGAGCTCCCTAAAGTGGCATTTGCTTTCTTGACTGCCATATTACAAAGCTGACTCTTATTAGATTTACTCTCAACACACCCCTGGGGTATTTCTCACAGTGGCTGCTATCACAGGGCTCTGTTTTCTCCTTGATTACCTGAGATGGGGGGTGTTGATTTCACCCTCTTCTGTCAAGACATCTTTGCTGTTCATTCTGTCCTAAATACACCTTCATCTCTGCTCCCTACCACACTGCCTTTGTTCAGGCACCTACCCTGTTTTGCACCACAACTGCCAAAGAGCTTCTCAACCCCTCACCTTGCCTCTAGACTTCCATCCTCCTGGCTGGCTTCCCAACACTCCTCTCCTCATCCTTTTCACATGGGAAGCCAGAGTCAGATCTAAAACACAAATGCAATCATGATACCACCTCCCAGCTTAAAAGCTCGTCCCAGCTTCCAGTCATTTTTGTTCTCTCCCCTTACCCCCATTCCTTTCAGGATAAGATCTAAAATCTATGGCACAGCATGGAAAACCTTTGGTGACCTGACCTCAGCTGCCCAGCCTCATTTCTAGCTATTCCACCTCCAATCACAGAGCAGTCTATACTTAAGGTAAACTGAACTTCCTCTTACTCAGAAGAGCCATGGTCTCAAACACTTTGATTTTTTTTTATACAAAGTCCAAAATAACCTTCTCCCTACCCTACTGTATGTGACCTAAAACATACTGATGTGTCTTATTCATTCATTGAACAAGTACATCATGCACATCTATTATGTGCCAAGTGTTGGGGGTATAAAAATATGTAAGATTTAGAGTCTAATACTCCCATGCCTTAGGCATGTAATAAATTTTTTGAGTTATTTTTCCTGTAAAAAAATAAATAAATGAAAGTGTGTAAGATTGGGTCCTTCCATCAGGTGCTCCTCAATAGGATGTAATGATTCTGCTTCCATTCACATTGCCACACAGACATCAAGGCAGCTAATTGGTTCCCTTGCAAGTGAGGGGGATGCTGATGGAACCTAGGGCCTTGAACATGCAGGCACACACTCTACCACTAAGCTACATCCCCAACCCAAGGAAGCTAATTGGAATGGTTACTTTGGACTTCAGACTCATCCAAATAAATGAAGGGTTAGGGAAACTGAAACTGAGATTTTTCTCTCTTGCTTAATATCACTAAATAATAGTTAAACTCATTCCATTAAGGCTGTCAATTTTGTTTGTGTGGTTTTTGTTTTTTGTTTGGTACTGGGAATCTAACCCAGAGGTGTTTTATCACTGAGCTCTATTCCCATACTTTTTTGTTTTTATTTTGATACAGGGTCTCATTAAGTTTCTTAGGGTCTAACTAAGTTGCTGAGACTGACTTTAACATTGTGATCCTCCTGCCTCAGCCTCCCAAGTCAAGTCGCTGGATTATAAGCATGTGCCACCATGCCCAGCAAGGTTGGCAATTTGAAGGCCAGAGGTCATGACTCTTTCATGTTTTAATCACACAATTACAGGACTTTGGGGGTTTTGTTTGTTTGTTTTGGTATTGGGGATTGAACCCAGGTGTGCTTCACCACTGAACAGTTTAACTTTTAAAAACCCAACTTATAGTCAGGTGTGGTGTCACATCCCTGGCTCAGGAGGCTGAGACAGGACGGTCCTGAGTTCAAAGCCAGCCTCAGCAATTTAGGGAGGCCCTACGCAACTTAGCAAGACCCTATCTCTAAATAAAATATTTTAAAAGGCTAGAGATGTGGCTCAGTGGTTAAGCACCTGTGGGTTCAATCCCTGGTATCCAATTTGTTAAAGTGTTTTGCGTGTGCTTATGGGTAGATGTGTTGAGTTCTTTTTCCTTTTACGTTCAGATAATCAATTTGTAACATAGCGTTTCTGGATCTGAAGAGAAAACACATGAACAGGATTGTATGTTGAACAAATGAACCGGTTTTAATCACACAATTACAGGACTTTGGGGTTTTGTTTGTGTTTTGGTATTGGGGATTGAACCCAGGTGTGCTTCACCTCTGAACTGTATCCCTAGCCTGCCTATCTTTCTTTCTTTTTAATATTTATTTTTTAGGTGTAGATGGACACAACACAATATATATTTTTCAATGTGGTGCTGAGGATCGAACCCGGGCCCCGCTCTTGCTAGGGGAGTGCTCTACCGCTGAGCCACAATCCTAGCCCCAATCTTTCTTTCTTTTGAGACAACATCACTAAGTTGCTTAGGGCCTCACCAAGTTGCTGAAGCTGACCTTGAATTTGTGATCCCTCTGCTTCAGCTTCCCAAGTTGCTGGGACTACAGGTATGTGCCACCTCATCTGGCAAAACTTTGGTATTAACATGGACTTTTAAGTTAATTTAATGAAACCCCACCCTAGATGCCTAAACTACTATGTGGGCAGTTTGGGGGGTTCTTTACAAAGTTATTAGTTCCTTAGAATCTGAAAATAAGTTATTTTTGTTGTTGTTACTATTAAACCATATGGCTTAGCTAGGCCCATGGGACACGCCTATAATCCCAACGGCTTGGGAGGTTGAGGCAGGAGGATTATAAATTCAAAGCCAGTCTCAGCAATTTAGCAAGGTCCTAAGCAAATTAGGGAGACTCTGTGTCTAAATAAAATATTTTAAAAGGTCTGAGGATGTGGCTCAGTGGTTAAGTGCCTCCGGGTTTAATCCCTGGTAGCAAAAATCCAAAACCCAAAGCAAAAAAAAAAAACAAAAAAAAAAAACCCAACCATGGCTCTACAAGTCCGAGTTTGCCGCATCTGCAATAATTTGAGGGACACTTGGGATGTTTCTCTATTATCTATTTTTCCCCTCCAGGGTTTGATGTGTCCTCAGGACCTCTTCTTTCCAAATGCAAGACCCACTTGGAAGAATCACATGTTAACATTTACTAGTTATTAACACCTAGCATATGGAAAGAGGCATGGCCTAATGGGAAAAAATTAAAGACACATGTACCAAATTGCAATTTTCAAAGTGATTGATCCTCATAGTAACCTGAATAAATATCTTTATTTCCATTTTACAGGAGAGGAGGTTAAAATGCATCTAGGCTAAATCATCCAGCAGGGTATTTGAATTTTAGTTCTGCCATTAACACTGGGCAAGTGACTATGCCACTCTATGACCCAGTTTCCCTATCAATAAAATCAGATGAGATGATTTGCAAGTGTCCTTGCAGCTTTGTCTGTTATCCCCTCATTCCTGCTTTCTGCGATCAGGGTACTGGAAGGTGGGGGGTGTTGTTTAGCATTTTAATAGTTACAAAAAATCATTTTGGCACTTGAGATACATTTTGGAAAGGATAAGCTCTGGTGGAATGCCAAAGCAGACAACATGAGAGCAGTGAATACTATAAGGAAGAAAATATGAGGATCCTAGAAAAGATCTGGACTCCAAACTCACCTACTCCCTGGGTCCATAATACAACCACTTCAATTTAAATTTTGAACTAAAAATTCCAACTCATTTGCTTTAATGATTAAAGAGTCTTCTCTGCACACCTTGATTAAAGTCTGTTTTGGCAAACTATTTGATCACATTCAGAGAATAATTTTGGCATAAAATGATATAAAGAAATCCATTGTGCATCCCCTGCTTATTCCATATAGCAAAGAGGGAAGATCGGAAATTAAAGCCTGAGGATGTCATTTGGAAGGAACACCAACAGGCCAATGGATGCATTCTAATAATTTATACAAATCCAAAGGTGAGATGCTTCCCCTCCCCCATTCCTTGATTTTGCTGAGAGGACTGGAAGAACACTGAGATGCAGCTAATCTAATGACTATGTATTTGCTTAATCTTATAAGAAAATAAGGCTTTATGCCTAATATAAAAGTAATTTAAGATGCCAGGTGAGAAGTGGTGATCTTCAAACTGGTTGCACAAGAAACTGAAAGCTAATTCCTAGTACGATAAGCCTACTTAATAGTCTGTTGTTTTTAGAGCAATTAAAAACATATTTAATTTT